GCATGCCGTCAAAACGACGATGGGTTACAAATATACAAAGCCCAATATACCCATCATAGTACCCAATCTGATAAGGGTATACCGGGTATATGCACGACAGCCAAATGGTGACAGAAAACTTTAAGAAAACTCACGGTGGACTAATGGATTGAGGAATCGGAGAGCCGAGTTCGAATTCCAGTCGAATCCATTACATTCACTTACGTGATCTTGGGAAAGGTATGAATCCTCTTCTTCTCCCCACACCAGCTATGAATAAATAGCAGGACAGACCGGGTTCTATGGCCTTGGATAGCAACTGGTCTACCGAAGAAAGAAATGACAGCCTAATGCGGGAAAAAATCGCCAGTCATGTATCGAAAGATAAATGATCGTCTAATCGTGTATCACGCATGACATAACTGAATATATTATCTTCCAGTTAGAAATACCTTCAGTTCAGGTAACTTTGTTCGCTCTGATGGTCTCTGATGCTACATCCTTTAAAAAAAAAAACCTCTTGCCCTTACGATACATGCCCATGCAACTGACAAGAGATTTTTCAAATCAAGGGTCAAATGTTGTCTGTCTTTCATATCCACATCATCCCCTTTTCCTACTTTTAGATTCATGTCACACTCCTCATTTGGTAACCCTCTGCCTTGAATGGCTCTTGAGCCTTCCATTGGTTGAACGCTAGTAAAAATTTTGAAAAAATGAAATTGGTGTTAATGAACGGGATATTTACTGTAGTCCATCTTAATCATCCAAGAAAAAACATGTATATGTTAACACCGCTAATCAGTTAAGATCAGAAGCTTAGAGTGTTATGCCTGATCTAGCCTCAGGACATTTGCACGATCATTACGCCCAGCCAACAGCTGATAAATAATGGACTATTCCGTTTTAGGAAACACACTACTTAGTTTCCGTGAGACAATGAATAGAAGAAAATGTAGAGGGAGAATCAAATTAAGCTGATAAGAACAGATACTACACTTTGATCTTAGCCTAAAGGCCGAAAAGCGATTATATTTTCTTGCAGCTCCACGATGGCAGGATGTGACACAAGACCAGTTTAATATGGGGACTCCGAGCCCGTGCACCAAGTCCAAAAATATCCCAGCCCCTGGAACCATCGTTTGTGCTGGTATCGTTATTACTATTATCGTTTCCCCCTCTTTAGTGCAATGACGGAGCTAAAGCTGTGGGCAACTGTTTCCCCGAGACCGGACACCTCTCAATAATATTTTCAATTCCTCTCTGTCCGTAGACAGAGAGATTAAATGTACTTTATCTGCCTGGGGGAGAGATACTACACTTTGATCCCAGCCAGGAGACCGAAGGTATTTTTCAGTGCACCCACGTCACTACCGAATGTGACGCAGTGTCAAAGTTTAGAGTGGGTTTACTGTGGAAAAATTGCCCAAGCCTGCTCGGCACTACCCCTTTTAGGGACCTCTCAAGTGACGAGCAATAAACCCAGCCTCCTCCCGAAAGAGAGTTGCAACTTTTGCTTTTGAGCCAAAAGGCCGAAAAACTATGATGACCGCGATAAGATGCACAGAAGTGAACAACGGAAACCGAGTATTGCAATCGCCAAAAATCCAATTACCATAAATAAAAGTGAAATGTTCGTAAGACGAGGATTTGGCTTATTATTATCATTATTATTATTATTATTATTATCATCATCATTATTTTTATTATTATTATCATCATCATCATTATCATCATCATCATTATCACTATTATCATCATCATCTTTATTATTATTATCATCATTATTATCATTATTTTTATTATTATCATCATCATCACTATTATCATCATCATCTTTATTATTATTATCATCATCATTATTATCATTATTTTTATTATTATCATCATTATCACTATTATCATCATCATCTTTATTATTATCATTATTATCATCATCATCATCATTTTTATTATTATCATCATCATCATCATCATCATCATTTTTATTATTATTATCATCATCATTTTTATTATTATTATCTTCATCATCATCTTTATTATTATTATCATCATCATCATTATCATCATCATTATTATTATTATTATTTTCTATGCTTACTTCATGTTTATAGTGGTCATCTCAACTCTTCCACACTTTTCGCAGTATCTTTGTAGATCGGTTAAGGTAAAAGGCCGGGTGAATTTCTAATTCATTCAGTCTCGATTCTAGTGTTTTGTGCACAGTTCCTTGTACGCAGATGATTACGGGAAGTACCTGAAATTTCTTATTTCACAGTCATCATTTTTGTCAATTCCTTTTCCTATTATTCTTACGTTTTTTTTTTCTCCTTTTCTTTTATCTTCAACCCATGGCCCGCTTGCACAGTGATACAAATCTTACTAAGAGAAGAGGTAAATTCCAACCTTTACCAAGGTTATTTATACGTAAGTGAATACAACGAACCCAACTGAAATTAGAACTCGGCTCTCCGATTAACAATTTCGAGCCATTATCCATTATCCACCCACACATCCAAGGTTACAACACCTGGTACTCCCAAGCGGTCACCCATCTAGATACTGACCTGATTCAACGTTGCTTAACTCCGGTGATCGTACGGGTACTGGTGTTTTAATGTGATGTGGTCATAAGCCCTTGATCTAGTTGAATTTGAAATCCCCAGAATTTGATTATTATCATTTCATGTATTTTGAGGTTTACTTCTCATATCGGCAGCATCTTCTTGGGTATTTTTGTCGATCTCATTCAATTCCTGCAGTCATCTCCCCTTTATGGTCGGGTATTGAAAACGGGGGTCAAGTTAAAGTAAGTCTCCTAAAAATTAGTATTTTCATTTCAACTTCAGCTGAATTCATTTCGTTTACCCCTCTGCCCTAACTCTCCTGAACTATTTACAAAAAGAGAATGTTCTCGGTGCTCCATATATTATGGGCACAGTCAATGCATCAAGCAGGCACAGTGGATAGTAATGGATAGCGGCTCGGATTGAGGAATCGGAGAGCCGAGTTCGAGTTCCAGTCGAATCCATTACATTCACTTACGTGCTAATACCCTTGGGAAAGGTATGAATCCTCTTCTTCTCCCCCCAGCTATGGATAAATAGCAGGACAGATTGGTAAATAACAGGACGGCAACTGGTCTACCGCAACATACTGCGGGAGAAAAATCTGCCTCGTCAGTCATGTATCGAAAAGATACATGATCACCTAAGCGTGTATCCCGTATGGCACATAACTGACTGACTGACACTCCTGCATTCTTTATATATTTTTGTACTTCTGGAGAGTACCTTGGGAAAGATATGACTCAATTTCTTCTTCCCCTCAGCTATAGGTTAAATATTAGGGTAGAATGGACTCTATAAACTCGGTTGGTAGTAACTTTAAATTTAAAACTGTGTAGAAGACAACGGGAGACCGCTTTATAAACAATTTTGGCAGTATGCAGATATTAACGAAACGGAATCTGTAGAGGGCCATGATTGCCTAAAGTAGCTGGCACTTAAGGAGAAGGAGAGAGGTTACGTGGTGCATATTAGTTGAAACATTTGTGTACAATATTGCGTAACTTGATTCTTTAACAAAGAGAACACTTTTCAAGAACATAAATGCTTTCCATCCCTTTTACTGACTCCCATGTAGGGCATCCGGAAGATATTTGGCGTGCGGGGCAGTTTTGTCAGAAAGGGCATTTTACAATGTGCAAGGTGTCCATAAAGTCTCTTTACAATTTTAAAAAATATATTTAAAAAGTAATTGATCAGTAATTATCAAAGTTTTTAATCACATTGCATTTGTGGATTACAGGTGTCCTGTTGATGAAAGAAGCACTGTCAAATGAACCCCTAACATTTCCAGACCGGTGAATTGGAAGGATGGCCCAATTCTCTCGCCACCTCGTTCACTAGATATCACTCCCCTGGACTTCTTTTTTATGGGGTTATGTTAAAGATATCGTGTATCGAACAAAGATACGGGACATCATTGATCTAAAGCAAAAGATCACTGATGCCATTGCCATCATTGATGAGGCTATGCTACAGCGAACATGGCAAAAAATTAAGTACAGTCTTGATGTATTTCGTGAAACTAATGGCGCCCATATAAAGGTGTATTAAATTTAGAAAACTTCAATATCTACACTTCATTTTGTAACATTTTCCACATATTTCTCTGTTAATTTGCTTTTTCAATAAATGCTTTAAATTGTAAAGAGACTTTATGGACACTCTGTATTTTTGCAGCGAGTTTGCAAAATAATTACAAATGAAAAGCGGGTATACAGAAGGTCAAATAGAAGTGTAAAATGCAATCAACAGTTAAAGTGTTTTTGAATATGACATCAAGCATAAAAGCGGCGAGAACTTATTTCTAAAAGCTGACATCTTAATCTTTCTCTTTCTAATAATTTTACATTTTAAAATGTTTCTTAAAATAGTTTCCCACGTTTTTTCTGCACTAAATTCTTTGGCGATTTTCTTACAAAATAAGTTATCCATTTTGTTCTTGTGCATGGCATCAAACATTTTTATTGTTCATACTGTTGGCGGCCATCTTTGGACTTATCAGCAGAGTTGTATCGACGTGAAGGCACGCTACAAATCAGTCTGTTTTCTCGTCTTAAACATATTTGCTCTTTTCCGATGTTTATAGTTATTGAAGAATTACAAATGGCGCCGTGCATGACGCGCATACACCGGGATATTTGTATTTCTTCAACAACTATAGAGATAAACTATGGTTTATAACGCAGCTACGCTGAGCGTACCTTAGTTACAGTTCAATTGTGTGTCTCAGCAGGGAATACATATATGTTTGAGGTTAAATTTTTCCTTCTCCTAAACTGGTTCAGCTGCTAAGAAAGTCGATTCACTGTGTCGAGCGAGAGAATTCTTCTCTCCTGAAACTCTCTTGCATATCTATAAGTCTACCATTCGTCCATGCTTAAAATATTGCTGTCCCTGCGCTTAACTTGGAGCTTCTTGATAGGATCCAAAGAATAATCAGCAATATTATTGGTCCTGATCTGGCGGCTCGGCTTCATACACTTGCTCACCGCCGTAAGGTTGCCTCTGTGCTTTTTTTTTTTTTTTTTTTTTAATAAATACTTTCATGGTAACTGCTCGGATGAGCTCTTTGCTATGATATGTGGAGAGAAAAGAATAAATTATTGTTTTATTCCCCTCCCCGCCCACAGATAATGAATTGTACATATGGGGACTAGTTAGGCTTTTCATAGAGACAGTGAGGTATTATGGTGGGTGTAGTAAGAAAGGTACGTACGAATGTATTGTTTTGGTGAAAGGAATATTGTTTGTATGATTGGGTCAGTGTTTGTGGCTAGCTAAGTTTAAAGTTAAGTCAGAAGGAGACCGTTCTATTTCTCCATTCCCCGTTTTGGCATTGTGTCTCATTTTCTAAACCTAGCAGAAATAAATATCTCTCTTTGCTATGATACCTGGAGCGTATCAATTTGAGCGCAATACTAGACTGGTGGCGAGATCGCATCAATTTACAATTGAGCTAGCTAGATATAGCCGTAACTTCTATGCCAGCACTTTCTTTTCTCGCACCTCTCGCTTGTGGAACTCCCTTGCAGCTTCATGCTTTCCAGCCAACTTTAATCTGCAAAAATTTAAATGCAATATCAAACGCCTGTTTCAATGTTTCTGTTCCTAATTCGTCCATACTCTGTTACTCCATTGCGTGCTAACATTTGTACTGCTTTGCTAGGAGTGATACCGATTTTTAAAAAAATCGACAAATAAGTAACTGATGTCTCTCTCTCTCTCTCTCTCTCTCTCTCTCTCTCTCTCTCTCTCTCTCTCTCCCCTCAATAATTGCAAATCGGTTCGACCAATTACAAAATCTAACCTAATGATCAAACATCACCGTATTACACACACACACACACGATATATATATATATATATATATATATATATATATATATATATATATATATAAGCGGAGAGCGTATATTTTTTCTCTAAAAGATTTCTCGAATATTCAGACCGGCAGACGAAAATAAATAAATATACTGTTTAATAAATAAAACGAAGCGTTTACACAAATACAAATATTCACTAAAAATAACGTTTTAATAACACACACATATATATATATATATATATATATATATATATATATATATATATATATATATATTTCATATATATCTGCTTTATATATATATAACAAAAGGCTTAAACACTAATATTCCATGGTCATAATTTATTTCATAATTTAGAATATTAGTGTTTAAGCCTTTTTATTATATCCTTACTCTGTCCTGGACATTGAGTTCTACCTGGATTCTGTCTACCATTTACCCGTAGCTTGTAGTGGTGGGGAAGAAAAAGAGGATTCTTACCTTTCCCAAAGGTATTAGTACGTAAGTAAATGTAATGGATTCGACTGGAATTCGAACTCGGCTCTCCGATTCCTCAATCCGAGCCGCTATCCATTACTCCACCGTAAGTCTTCTAAAAATGTCCAGTAGATTCGTTCCGCAGATTTCTGTTACATCATCTCGTTTACTCCTTTCTCTCCTAATTTTTCTAAACCCTCTACAAAAGTAACTGAGAATATTCCTAGTGCTCTTCCGATTATGGGTATGACCACACCTTATTATTATTATCTAAACCTCTTTCAAAGTAGTTTTATTTCTTTTTTTTCAATATTAATAATCGTCATTTTTAATTGTATATGTCTTAATTTGAACAAATTTATTCAGTTTTGTATTATCAAAACGTTGCGACCGTGTACTCTCCGACCTTGAAGTCTCTATTTCTGACATGAGGTATTGTAATTATTTTACATTATTTATATTGTTCGGACTTTTGTCCTCATCTTTATTTCCTTATTGCCTTATTCACAACGTTTCAGTCGTTGTACGCTCCGGCCTTCCTCAGGTGATTGGAATTTCGAACTGAACACTTTCTTTCGTCCACCTGGATACATTGTTCTATTTCCAAGTGCCATGCCTCTTCCGGATGTCTCAGTTATCTCCCTTTAACCCAGCTCTCCAGATTTTTGTTCACTATTGCAGTGAACTTGAACCAAAGAGTTTTGAGTTCAATATCTAAATGGTGATGAGTGAGAAGACAGCACGCTAAGAAAATGACGTTGGTATACATATATACAAAGCTCAACATGCCTATCATATCATCCAGACTTATAAGTGTATTCACACACACATATATATATATATATATATATATATATATATATATATATTGCCTCGGGGTATTTTGATAGGCTCCAGAGGCGGATATGCAATATAATTGGCCCTGCTCTGGCATCTCATCTACAGTCACTTTCTCACAGACGCACCGTCGCCTCTCTCTGTCTTTTTTTCACAAATACTTTCATGGCCTTAATTGCTCTGAGGACTGCATTCGCTGGTTCCCCCAGACTTCATGAGTTCAAGCGCCCTACGAGGCTGGCATCTCGCTCTCCCCTTCACTGTCAAACTCCCTAAACTTCTAGCCTAATAGCTTCATGTTTCACTTCTCACTCCTGGAACTTCTTGCCCTTCATGTTTCCCTGAGCTATAATCTCCAACTATTCAAATGTAAAGTCAATCGACATCTCTAGTTTCCTTAGAATCCTATCCACTACCAATCT